ACCAACCATGTCATCCAGGAGCTCCCATCCACAAATGTCTTTTATAGCAAAATAAAATCTAGCATCATGCCTAGCATTCAAAATTCATCTTCAGCCTTTCTTTTAATCTGGAACATTTCTTGAGTCCGTGTTTCATGACATTAGCATTTCTGGAGAGTATACAGGACAATAATTGTAAAATATTCCTCAATTTGTGTTTGTCTGATGTTTCTTCATGATTATATCAGGTTCTGAACTTAGGAATGCCACAAAAAATGCTGTTGTGTTGCATCCAATCAGGAGGCATATGCTGATGGTAATACTGGTGATTTGTTTAGATTGTTATCTGCCAGATTTTTCTACTGTAACCTTACTATACTTCCCTTTGTAATTTATAAATATCTCATGGAGAAGTACTTTGAGACTATGTAAATATCTTCTTACTCCATAAACATTCATCTATAATTTCAACATTTATTGATGACTGTTTCCTGAATTAATTATTATTATGGTGGTTTCCAAATTGTGATTTTCTAATTCCTGAATTCCTTACTCATTTAATAGTTGGCCTTCCACTATAAACTTTCTTGTCTAACATTTATTTATTTGTTCAGTTATGTTACTGTGGGCTCATAGATTCTCATTTGTAAACTAGGGCCACTGGGGGCTCCCCTTTATGCAAGTCCTTTTGTCTTTTCTTTTTTCCCTGTGTGTTTTTTGATATGTCTCAATCTTTCTTTGAACACTTTTTACTTTGATTCAAAAAGATATTCCAGTTTCATCTTGTACTTTCCCTATCCAAGTTCTAGAACCAGCCATTCCTAAGAAACCTACGATTCCTTTATTTTTTTTTAAACTGGACAAATGCCCTAGTTCCTTTTAATGGACTCCAATTTTAGATTTTCAAGACCTGAGCATTAGGTGTACCCATGCATCCCCAACTACATATAATATCTATTTATAAGATCCATCAAAACATGGGCTTTTGTCTGTATCTTCAATTTTAATACTCCACTGCAAGGTCATTCTATCTTTCTGGTTTCCATATTTGTAACTCTTCCAACAATAAGAAACTTGGCTCCCATTACCCACAATATAATCTCTTATTTGTCAAATCATAGAATACTTAGTAATTTTAGAACTGCTAACTAATGACTCTGAAAAAAAGCAGCTTACTAACTGAAATCCAATATTTGTATAGAGGTTTTTTCCTCTTTAGTTTGAGAGTATATATTTCAAATAGATTTTCAAAAGTATATTGAATTAGTTCTCTTTTTCCCACCTTTAGTGTTATGTTATTCATGGGAAGTAGTTTTGTTTTGTTGTTGTTGTTGTTATCATATTATACAATCTCCCATTTCCTACTGACTTTCTGTCTTTTTAAAAAATGAAACATTAACATGGTTCCAAAAGTCAGTTCTGTACAGAGAGGTACAGAGAATCACCCCCTCATTCTCTACCTTCCTTCTACCCTATGTCTGTCCATGACCTATACAACCCAGTCTCATTAATCTCTGGTTTTTCCTTCCTGTGGTTTGTTTGGTTGGGTTTTTTTTTTTTTTTTTTTTTGCACAAATGAGCCAGTCTGTGTATAATTTCTTCTTTTTCCTTCCTTTTTATACAAAAGGTGGTATACTATTGAAAATCTTGTACTTTTGGTTTTGTTGTTGTTGTTGTTTTAATTTTATTTTTTATAAACATATATTTTTTCCCCCAGGGGTACAGGTCTGTGAATCGCCAGGTTTACACACTTCACAGCACTCACCATAGCACATACCCTCCCCAATGTCCATAATAACCCCATCCCCCTCAATCCCCATCCCCCCAGCAACCCTCAGTTTGTTTTGTGAGATTAACAGTCACTTATGGTTTATCTCCCTCCCAATCCCATCTTGCTTCATTTACTCTTCTCCTACCCCCTTAACCCCCATGTTGCATCTCCTCTCCCTCATATCAGGGAGATCATATGATAGTTGTCTTTCTCCGATTGACTTATTTCGCTAAGCATGATACCCTCTAGTTCTGTTGTTGTTGTTTTTACTGAACAATCTATCCTGGAAATCACTCCACGTCATTTCATAGAGCTCTTCTCCATTATTTCTTTCAGGAGCATAGTACTCCATTATCTGGATATACCATAGTTTATTCAAATACTCTCTTATGTATGTTTCCAATATTTTGCAATTGCAATAATACTATAATCAATCTCTTATGCGTGTGTAGTTTTTTAGTTGTTGGAGGAACAGTTTCAGGGTAAATTCCTAGGAAACCCAATTTTTTAAAAATATTTATTTATTTGACAGAGAGATCACAAGTAGGCAGAGAGGCAGGCAGAGAGAGTGGGGTGGGGGGAGCAGGCTCCCCACTGAGCAGAGAGCCCGATGCGGGGCTGGGATCATGACCTGAGCCGAAGGCAGATGCTTT